CTACAGGTGATCGGAGAAGCACAGGACTCGTGGGAAAACCAGAAACATAAGAACCAGAAACAGTGCAACTGCATTTTTAAATCATGTCAGGAAGTTAATCCTTTTGAATGCCACATAGCCAAATGTTTATGATTTACAGCAAATTTAGGAATATGCTTTTCATTTACAGCTTACATGACACATTGATATTAGTGTTAATGACCATTTGCCAAGAGAAATTACAGGCGAGGTTTCAGCATTTTGTCTTACGAAAAAGCTGGCAGTTGTCTGTCAAGCTGCCTTTTACTTTGCTTCTGTTTGGGGGATTTTTTGATGAAGTTTATGATCTGATTCTGTAAGGTTTACAAAACTCCAGTTAAGAGACATTTCTAATAAAAATTCCCCAGAAGGAATGAGGAATGTCTATATCCTTCTCAGCAGAAATCCCTAAAACTGCTCAGTGGCAAAGCAAAATAATTAATTCCTGGAGTGTCAGGAATCTTCCAGTATCATTAACCAGAAATAACTGAAGACCAGCATTTTGTGAAGGACCTTTGATTTTTCCTATATTTTGGTAAGCCGGAAGAAAAAGGCTTTTTCCACATATATAGAATGATTACAGGTTCTGGAAAATTCACCTCATTTGAGATCTGTCAGCCTTATGGATGTCACTGATTATCACAACTACGGACTTACCTGCACAGTTGGTACCTCTCTGGGATGCCAGGACTAACAAAAGCACATTCACTCCCTACGGAGGGTGATGTCACCAGGCCCATCTTCCCAAGTCTACTTCTTCATGGATTCATTTCCACTAGCTCATGGATCACCATTAACCTGAGAACCTCACACTCTCAGTGTTTTCACACTCCCACAACAACAAAAAAAAGGGCTCCTCTCCTTGTAGCACAACGAGCATGTGGGCAGCTGGAAGCTTCAAGCCACATTCTGAAAGCCAGAGGTCCCCTCAGCAGAACACCTGGTGTTCATCCCAAGCCTCCTAAGTGACCACAACTCAGGCTCAAGAAAATGAGCTCTGTCCATCTCTGTGACAGAATCATAAAATGGCTTGGGTTGGAAAGGACTACAAGTATCATAAAGTTCCATCCCCCCTGCCACAGGCAGAGCCATCAACCTCCAGATCTGGCACTAGACCAGGGTACCCAGGGCCCTATCCAACCTGGTCTTGAATACCTCCAGGAATGGGGCATCCACAGCCTCTCTGGGCAGCTTGTTCCTGCATCCCCACCACTCTCTGTGAAGAACTTCCCCCTGACATCCAATCTAAATCTTCTCTCCTTGAACTTAAATCCATTCCCTCTTGCCCCTTACTGTCTACCCTTGCAAAAAATTGATTCCCCTCTTTTTTATAATCCCTTTTGAAATACTGGTAGGCTGCAATGAGGTCTCCTCACAGTCTTCTCTTCTCCAGGCTGAACAAGCCCAGCTCCCTCAGCCTCTTTTCAAAGGAACAGTGCTCCAGCCCTCTGATAATCTTTGCTGCCCTCCTCTGGACCCTCCTTAACAGCTCCACATCTTTCCTGCATCGGGGGCCCCAGATCTGAATGCAGTACTCCAGATGGGGCCTCACGAGGGGGACAGAGTACAGAGGGACAATCCTCCCTGGCCACCCCTCTTCTGATGGAGCCCAGAATACCACTGGCCTTCCAAGCTCAAGACCGCACTGCTGGCTCATGTTCAGTTTTTCGTCCTTCCCCAGTCTGTATATACATCTGGGATTACTTTGGCCCAAGTGCAAAACTTTGCACTCTGCTTTGCTCAACCTCATTAGGTTCACACAGGCTCACCTTTGGAGCTTGTTGAAGTCCCTGTGGATGGCATCTCTTCCTTGTAATGTGTCGGCCACCCCACTCAGCTTGGTGTCATCGGCAAACTTCTTGCGGGTGCAGAAGACACAGAGGCCCTCAGATGAAGGAGAATGCTGCATCAGGAAAGGACTACAGCCTTCTTTTTTTGCATGATGTGGTCACCAGAAAGCAGACCTGAGGTGGTCACCCTCTGCCAGGCAGGAACTGTCCACAATCCTGACAAACACATGTACTGTGGCTCTTCTGATGGGCAAACCTGAAGCATGCTCCTTCTCAGTCAAACCCCATGATTACAGCTTGCTTTGGGCTGTTCTGCCATTCACTCACTGCCACCCTGTACATAGGTGGCCATGCCCCTGTTCAGGTCTCTTCAGATTCAAGGGTTACATAGCACCAGGCACCTCAAAGAGGCTCTCAGAAACATCCCATTTCCTGGTGAGCTCTGCTCTGTAATTGCATAATTACATTCCAAGGCAAGAGTGAAATGCTCACATGGCTACATTAACACGAAGAAGAATTCTGCACAAAAAAAAGAAATGGCCATTTGTTGAGCCACAGATACTACTGGGACATTAAAAACTTCAGAAGGAATTAATAAAAAAATAAATAAGCCCACTCAGTTGCCATGCGGACCATGCTTAATTCCATTGAGAGTCAGATCCAGTCATGTGTGAAAGGAGGGAAGCCTGAAAGCAGTACTGGCCAACACAGGTTGAGGAGGCTGAACATGCTAACAAAGATAGTCACAGAAAACAGCTCCATTAGATGCAATTCTGAACACATAAAGATACCAGTGCAATGGATTCATAAAAACATGGTGCAACTAATGCATTCCTAACCTTTGCATAAGGGATTGAACCTCTTAAGTATACAGCTGATCCAATCTGAAAGCTTCTTTGCTTCAGCTGGTTGAAAAGGCAAAAAAGTTGAAAAAGAAATGCAGTCTTGAAAAAAGCTTATTATAGACATACTGTAACAACTCGGGGGGAAAAAGAGAGGAAAGTGTGACAATACACGTGGAAAAAATACCATCAGTGAAAAAATGGACAATATACTGTAATTATTATCTTTCAACAGTAAAAGTGTAGCATATTTTATTACTAATGAAAGTAATGTTTCTATGCAATGTGACCAAATACACATTTCAGTGCAACGTAAACAAGTTGAGATACAAAACGAGCAAGAAGAAAGCATGCAGATGTCAGTGTTATATTAGACTGCCATAATGTAATGCCCATTGGAAAATTGTTTTTCCTTCCTCTTACTCGCATCCAGGAGTGGCCAAACACTTTCATCCTCTTTTTTTTGTTTGTTTGTTTTTTTTTTCTCAAGAGGATATTAAGCATATGAGAAAATTTTACCACAGCTTCAATGTGGTTTTGATATTATCAGAGGTTTAGTTAAGACAATAATTTTTCAAGAGAAAAACTGAAATCTTGAACCTAAGTCCGTTTGAGCACTCAACTACTTCTCAGTTATAAAGCTTTCATGGGCCAAACGTAAAAGACATTCCTCAAAAAAATTCTATCTTTCTCGGAGGGCCCTTAGAAAATACACACAGAATATAATAGGAAGAGTAAGAATTACAAGAGAAAATATATACATACACCTTCTGAATAAAACAGATTTGTCCACAGGAATATTAATTAAGAATACATTTAAATGTTGCTTTGGTATTCTCGGCCTTCTGTTCATTTGATGATCTGCAAATGCTATTTCAGAAGCAGTTTAAAAGTTGACTTAATATCATGATAGAAGCCAAACATCTTAACTACCTTGTAGCCTTCCTGTTTTCATTTTGTGAAAGGACTTTTCTCACATTAAAAGCCTTGCTTCTCATGCAAAGTTCATATTTTAATAAAGCTGGGTTCTGCAACTTGTGTGCTTATGTATGTGCATACTTACATGTGTGAAAACTAAAAATCCACCCAAAGGGAACTACTGAAGTTTATAAAAATCACATCCCAAACTGGTCTTTTAATATACTACTAGAAAATGTATTTATTCTTATTACAATTACCTCATATGTGTATGGCAAGGAGAATTCTGAGCTTTTAGAAACTGTGAACACTAACCTGCCACCCAAAATAAAAACAAGTTTGTGCAACCTACTGTCAGCAGTGTAAAACAGAGAACACCAAATACTGCATTAAAAATCATTATTTCAAACAAACACTTCAGTATTGTGAACTCAGTTCTTCTCAAAGGATTTCTAGAGCAAGAATGTCCTGTTAAAATGTATTTGTTGTAAAAATCATCCTTCTAAATCAGCCTCTTTCCCTTCCCTTGTAGGAGTGCAACATCTCTTCCCTCTGCAGCCAGCAAAGATTCACATGTGGATTTTAACTTATTAGCACATGTGAAGTGACTGCCACTGTTTAAAATGTGTTTACAAGTGAAAAAAAATAAGGAAAAAAAAAGAAAATAGAAAGTGGCTTCCATTGCAACATGAATACTTCATCTCTTTAGTAGAGGAACTGAGCAGTTTGTCTCTAACACTGAACCACACAACTTTATGTGCAATTACTAAGAGCTGAATTACTTAACCAAGCATTTTTATTTAATCTACCATTTATTCTCTTTTCATTTTGGAGGAGAAAAGTAAAGCAATTTTAAAACAGCTGTGCTAAAAGGCTACTTTGAAAACTTGTTATCCAGAGCTAAATACTAGATTTCTTTTTAAGCTTACTATTGTCCAATCCTTCCTCGTCATCTGAAGTTCACAGTGTGTCACTGTCTTATAATGCCTCTCTGTTCCCAAAAAACTGTAAACACATCTGAGGAAACTTCCTTCACTACCACCCGTCTCGTTCCTTTCTAAGCACTATTGCTGTGTCTCCAATACTTTACACTTGGTTATTAAAATGCTAACAGTTTTCAGCAACTCTGTGTTTTAATACCCATCGAGGTTGTGCATGAGTACAGTAATTTGCCTTTATGATAAACTGAAAGATTGTAAATGAAATTACACAACTCAAACATTAGTTACATTGCAATAGTACTTAGTAACAGTAGAAACTCAAACTCTAATATGGTACCTGAGGAAATAATGGAAAAACTTAAAGTATGTTGCTATAAATTAACTCAATACCTAAATATAGCATTTGTGCCTCAACAGCCTCTATAGAACACTGATATTTCACTGGAACCAGGTCCTCAGTGACCACAGAGAAAGATACAGTCATTACTTACTGATTTAGCGTTACGTCCAGGATGAAGGATGACCCAAAAGCATCAACTTGGAAGCTGGCTCGAGCAATGTGGGTAGACTGCAAAACGGAAGAGAGAGGAATTGGTATTCAGCTACAACGCAATATACCATACAAGTGTCTGAACACAGAAAGTAATCATATTTACAAAGCAACAATACCAACCAAACAAAACTACACTGAAATAGACACAGTATCTATCAGAGTGAATAACTGCTTTTTGGCTGAACTTTGAGGTTTGTTCAAGAATTCCCAACAACGCAACCAGCTCTGCCATAATTACGTGCCCTCCACATTAACACACCAACACTGTAGGAAATAACTCTTCCCTTCCAACTTCCACCTCAGGCAAAACCCTGAACAAATACAAACGGGAAATTTCCTCTGGATGATGTACTCCTCATTGATCAGTCTGGCTCTGACCCATAGAGATGAGCTGAGACATGCCCAGTTTGTTCAGGCCAGGCTGTGTGCACCAGTCTCACCAATGTTATCCAGAAGAAGCTGATATTTCAGATAAGTTCCCAGTAAAGCTCATGTAGTAAGGTGATAGCAGTGGGATAAACTCTGATTAACTGTATTTTTTGTAAAGCTGTGACTCACTCCCATGAAGCCCATCTGAACCAAAAGGTTCCCAAAACTCCAACCAAACAAAACTTGGTGCTAGGGAAACATCTCTTCCTTTATTCCTCTCGCTCTTTGCAATGCATTTCCCTGAATTAATTGCTTCTATTCACTCCCATACCAAACAAATACAGGAATACTTTGTAAATCGCAATCTTCAAGAAATATATTTATTCCAGTACCAGTGAAAGAAAACACTGAGTTATCCGATGGAAATGCAACGCTTGTTTCCAGACCTTAAAACTCCCAAGAAACTGAACAGCGATGTTATTTAACTAATTAGTAAGAAAAGCTACTTTCAGACATGTTGGAGCAGTTTCAATTTGTTCTTTACTTTCTTTCCATTGAAATCTACCCATTAAGATTTGAAGCATGTAGACTGAGGGATCTAAAAGAAGCACTGAACGACCACTTACAACTCTATACCACACTTCTCAAAGAAGTACAACACAGGACAGTACAACTGCAACAAATGATTTATTGAAAAGTCTGGGAAACACAGGACAGGATGGGATAATATGAATCATCAAATTCACTCTCTCTAAAACTACTGGCAGGCTTTCAATAGGCATTAAATCCAGAAGAGTTGAGAATACCAGTTTGTCTGGAAAGGAACAGTAATAAAGACATGGGAAACTGAGGGAATCGTTATTTTTTAATGATATTTTTTAATTGCCCTATAGCCAAATTTTCTTGCTATTGTAGAAGCAAAGTTTTAGCAATTTAAAAAAAAAAGTAACAACAGTGAATAAGTATTTGCAAACAGTTGATTTCTTTAAAAAAAAAGTCACAAAAGTTTTTCTCAATAGAGGATACCTAGGCTGCAAATGCTCTACAAGAACGCCTCACTGTGCCACTGTACTGAATGTGCATACATGAAAAATTTCAGGTATTTAAACTGTGGTTTAGAAGGATGCAGTATTAAACTGTAAAGCTTCTTGGAAGACCTCTTAGTAGATACAATTCTGTCACATATAATTTCAGCTATCCCCCTTCTATCTAACCTTCTTTGTATCACATGCCATGGAACTTTACTGAGCAGTTCTTGTAGTTCTTGAATGATCTAAGAGCACCTCTTTTGAAAAAATGTATAATCTTTGACCAAGTAAGTGAATGTGTCATACACTTTATCTTATCCAAACAAAATATTTCAGTGATGAATTACCATCAATATTAAAAACCTACTTTCTAGATATATAGTAAAAAAAAAAAAAAGAAAGAAGGAAAAGAAGGAAATTTCTTCATATCACCAGTTTCTGAATCCCTTAATTGGAATTAAGCTACTCCCAGATGATTGTGAGGCACAGTACCCATGGCAACATGGACACCCTCCCATGTAGAGGCACCACAGGACCACTGCTTTGCTGATCCCACCCAGAGGCAGCCAGCCCATGGTTAGCTCAACCACAGCCACAACTAAAAGAACTGTCAACAAATTATCTTGTTAGCATTGGCATTTCTCTTCCAACTCTCAGGCAGCAGAGTTTGCTTTGAATATGGTTTTGAAACTCCTCCTCTTGCTAGATTTGAATGATGAGGCTGCTGCTCACAAAACAGGACATGACAGGCCAAGGACTGCAAAACACAGTGTGGGCCAATGCTGGTTTAGTCATTCAAATGTTCCACTGCAGCATGTTTGCTAACCCTGGATAACCTTCATTTACCTACTTGCTCAGTAACAACCACCTTATGATCATAGGAATAACACCAGCACAGCTGCTTACTTTTCATTGCTGCTTTATTAAATGTAAAGAACTTTATTATTTGCTAACTTTATTATTTGTTAGCTACATTTGCCATCATTCTGATATATGTATGCACTATAACTAAATCTTCTATATCACCAAATGCTGATACTGAAGAATATAAAAAGCATAATTTAAATCTGTACATAGCACATGTAGCCTTTGTGACAAAAAGCATACTCATCTATGCTAGTTTCATATAAGAATATAACTCTAAGAACAAAGATGCCTGGGGATTTGGGGTGTTTGGTGATTTTTTATTACTGTTTGTTTGAGGTTTGTTTCCTTCTTTGTTTTTACACTGCTAGGTATATTGCATCATATTGATTTGTTCTGGGAAGTTTCTTCCCCTGGACAGGTCTATCAGACATGCAATTGCAAGCCTAATGTACTTCTGAGGTGACCCTGGACCACACTTACTGCCTGATAGAAGCTCTTAATGCAGATTTATGGGAGACAGTGCCTATTAATAAATTAGAATGAAAAACTTTAAACAGATGTTGCTACCCCCAAAGCAAGTGCTGCAAACCCATGAAACTCACCATTAAGTTTACACTAACACACAGTCAAGTGTATCTCAAGTGTATTTCATACCAACTGAGATGCAAAGATGCACATTTTTGATCCTGAGACAAATTCAGCCCTTTCCAGAAATGGCAGTCTTTACAGATGCAAAGAATCCTTCAATCTCAGCTGCGGTTCTGCATGCAGTCCTGCCTCCTCCCTGCTCCCCCTTGCCAGCTGTGTGACTGCCCAAATTCAGATCAGTGTCAGAAAATTAATTGTTACTTGGAGTGGATCAGTTTTCTGCCGGACAAATAAGCTGATCCAAATAAAATATAAAGCCACAGCATGCCCAGATGCGATGGGAAGGAGCTGGAGGGGACATGCAGCCAGCGAGCACAGAGGAAGACAGATCCCCCTCTTCAATGACAGCTAACAGATCTCATTCAGCATACCAAAATCTGCACCTTAACAGTAATAGACAGAATAGACAGAATAGACAGAAGAATCCTTTTTAGGATAACCGTTCTTCCGAATATCTGGTAAAGAGCCACAAAAAATATAAATGGATTTTTTAATCTTGGCTCTACAGTATCTTTAAGTACATCAATATGCCTGCTCAGCAAATGGTAAAATGGCCAGCTGGAAGGGACGCCAGGTTCATAGACATACGTCTGTAAAAGAATCCATAGAAAGAAAATCAGGGTGCATCTCTGACATTTTGTTTGAGTAGAAGTAATAAGAAAGACACCTTCAAAGGTTCCTCTGAACCACTGAAGCAAGACAATCAATTACATCATCCTGTTCTCAAACCACAGAACTTTCTCAGAAAACTCTGAGGCTTTTTTAGCAGCCGTGGCTATGACACATCGGTGCCTGAAAATCGAGTCATTACAAGGGAGCTCCTGGAGACCAGGAGAGATGCACTCAGTGCAGAACATGAACAAGAGCCAGGGAAGAAGGCTCCAGTAGTGCAATGGGAGAGCACAGTGCCTGTGCCCTTAAAACAATCAAAAAGTTCTGAAATTTTAATGTCATGCAACCAAAGAAAGGAAATATCAAAACCGACTCCCAAAAGAGTATCTTCAGATGGAATTTGAAGTGCTACATAAGGTGTACTACTCCACAGGCTCCCCTTATAAAAATACTAAGCATCTGATGCATCGAATGCAACTGCGTGGGAGCTGGCTTTGTCAAAGATCACAAAGCTTAAGCATTTCAATGAAGGTCTGAAAGGAGTCAAAAGTCAGTGGAGTGGAAAGGACTATTCCAAACCATTAATGCAAAGATATTTTATCTAAAACAAATATTAAGGCTTGACCTCTAGAAAAACAAAAGTGGTACACAAATCTTACTGCCAAAGCAAGAGGGATGTGATTATACTAAATCTCATGATCCGTGCTGTAGGGAGCACAGCAGTAATAAAGGAGTTGGGCAATCAGTACTGTGCATGAGCGTTCTAAAGAAACACGACAAAATAATGACAATTCCCACATAGTCCCTCCAGAACCAGCCTTCCTCGCAAACCGGCCCTGAGCACCTCCAGGGGGGAATACATGTACATAAACTGCAACCAAAGCACAGGACTGCAGGTCACTGGTGAGATTCGTTGCACTATTCCGAAGGTAACCCTCAATACAAAGCATTCAGAAGACTGATTTCAAACTGAGCAAATGTTTCGATCAGCAGTGAAAGGTTTACAAGCTACACATTTTCTTAACAATCACATTAACAAGAATTTTGAAAGGAGACGTTTTAGAAATGTTCTCATGTTCATTATAATTAGTTGGATGTTGGAATTGGCATGCCAACATAATGACTAACATTTTTCCTCATTAAAATAAAGAAAAAGAGAATTAAAAATACACTGTGACTGAAGTGTGAACTTCCTAATATTGCATCTTTTTTCCTTCTGAATTATCCTGCATAAAGCTCTTAGATGCTTTTCCTAGGTTTTGCTGGAAGAGATAACAAGGATTTCTACCAAGAGAGAAGAATGTCTTCTCTATTTAAAAAAATATATATACGAGAAAACCCAATGCAATTTTATGCTCACTCTTTGATGTAAGGAATTTTGTATTCACTACTATTGATATAACATTGTGGTTTGTAATTAAAAGATTGTGATCAAATTGTACACTCAAAAGAAAAGCATCAAGAGAATCAAGAAAGCTATACAGAATGTTG